TTCTAATCAAATGCTATTTACGCAGCACTTTGCTAAATGTCACTGTTATTATATCCCCGTGCTCTACCTTTTTATTAACCGAGGGGTTCTTGATAGTTACAACTAATAGCTTCTGATTATGGGAATGAATGAGAGACACCTTAGAGACAATGAGGGTGAGAAATGAATTGTGGTTTTCCTCTCTCTCAGGTCCAAACAACAACCATGTGTATATCTGTCAGTCTGAGCGGATTTGTGGTGCTGGGCTGCATGTTTGCCCCCAAAGTCCACATCATCATGTTCCAGCCTCAGAAGAACGTCACCAGTCACCGGTTAAACATGAACCGGCTCAGTGTGAGTGGGCCAGCCACTAGCTACGCATCCCACGGTGAGATCTGCACACAAACAAACAGATAAATTAGAACATTTGAGCTTTAAGTATGTCACATTTGTGCCATAGACACGAATAATACAAGCAAATTGTGCAATCAGACTACAGACTTGGCAGATTATCTGGTAACTACCAAGGACACCCAATGTGTTTAAACCAGGGTCAAGAGCAGGGCCTGGGGCAAAAACAGTAATAAAAAAGCCTGGATACTGAAATTGTTGTTGTAATAAATAAAAAATAAATAAATGTATACCTACTTATTACTTTTCTAAACAATTAGACTTCAAATGTAAACTTAGCAGACTGTCTGGCAACTACCCAGGACAACCAAGAGAAAGTATAAAATAAAGATTTCAAAAAATTGCCTGGATTTTGAAAATGCAATCAATCAATCAAAGTCTAGGGAACAAATATTGCTCGTTTATAAAATAATTAATTTCTGATGCAGGCTTAAACATAGAACACCTTAACAATGACTTAGCAACCACCTAGGAATGCCATAGCAATCTCTCAGAACAGTTTAGCTACCACATTATTGTTATTGTTGATTTTATTGCCATGGATATGGCATGATGGGTCTAATTTTATCATATAATATACACCTACACAATCATGCAAAATTGCATTGATGGCCCAAAAAACCCACAGAACAGCACAAAATAAGAAAATGCTGCAAAGTGATTCATTTGTGACACGCAAGGCCAACTGTTTGTCAAAGTTGAACTTTCCGCAGTGCTTACACAGACAGTTTGTAGTGATAACAGCACTTTGATATGCCAATTTACACTGAGGATTTTAATGTCAGCATTGTCACACAGAGCAGTTGTGTAAGAGCCCAGAGGAAAGGTGCGGCTGAGCGGCCGTTTGGGTAATGCCTGATGCTGGGTAATAAGCCTATGTGTGCGCAGACAACAGCTTCTGCTCTAATGCATTATTTACGAGCACAAAAACAGATCAGGTAAACAGTTTCATCTTTATTCACATTTCATCCGTCTAATAAAGAACATGACAGACACTGCAAAGAAGAGAAGACACTGCAGAGCAAAGATCACATAGAGTTACTCGCTAGGAGGGAAAAGAGGGGGAGGGAGCTGATGAGAGGAGAATGAGGAGAATCAAATCACGGGAAAAGCATGTCGTGAACTTTGTGAAAAGTTTGTGGTGTCTTTTATGTGAAGTTGGCCATCTGTAAACATGGCTGTGTTCGGTGTACCATTTTAACATACATCACTATTGCTGCAATATACAGTACAGCCTGTATATGAACATTTTTATTATGCATGAAATAATGATAACTGATACCTACTATATGTCAATATACTTTGGTCACACTTTATTTTAAGGTCCAATTCTCACTATTAACTAA